GCCCCTAGCGAAAAACCACCGACTTCTTGGTCAGTCGGGTCAAAGGAACTGCAATCTTGTAGCTGTCCTGAATAAATCTCCTGTAATATCCTGCTAGACCCAGGAAACTACGAATCTCAATTGGTGACCTCGGAATCTCCCACTGCATCACGGCCTCTATCTTGGCTGGATCGAACAGAATACCCTTCTGGTTGAAAAGATGCCCAAGAAACTGCAGCTCGCGTAACCAGACTTCACACTTGGAGAACTTCGTAAAAAGTCTCTCCCTCCTTAGTGTCTCCAGCACCTCTCTCAGGTGCTCCTCATGCTGCTCTTGAGTCTTGGAGTAAACCAAGATGTCATCAATGAAGACTATTACAGACCGATCCAGCATCGGTCTGCACACACGATTCATGAGGTCCATGAATGCGGTTGGGGCATTGGTGAGCCCAAACGACATCACTACAAACTCATAATCACCATAGCGAGTCCTAAAAGTTGTCTTCTCCACATCATCATCCATGACTCACATCTAGTGATACCCTGACCGTAGATCAATCTTGGAGAACCAAGATGCTCCCTGAAGCTGGTCAAATAAATCATCTATCCTTGGAAGTGGGTAGCGGTTCTTCATCGTTACCTTGTTCAGCTCCCGGTAGTCTATATACATACGATGTGACCCGTCCTTCTTCTTCACAAACAGGATCGGGGCTCCCCATGGTGAACTGCTCGACCTAATAAAACCCTTGTCTAGCAGCTCTTGCAACTGCGTAGACAACTCCTGCATCTCGGGAGGAGCCAATCGATATGGTGCCTTGGCTATCGGAGCCGCACCAGGAACCAGGTCAATCCTAAACTCAACCTGTCTCTCAGGGGGTATCCCAGGTTCTCCGGGAATACGTCTGGGTACTCTCGCACTATCGGTACATCATCAAATGTCGCCTTACCCTTATCCCGGGTATCCATGACGTATGCGACATACCCTGCGCAACCCTGCTGAAGGTGGCGCCTCGCCCTCGATGCTGAACAGAAAACTGGTCCGCGTTGTGGCCTCTCACCCTGGACTACTATCTCTCCCCCACTAGGAGTGCGAGCCCTCACTAGCTGCTGCTCGCAGTCAATCACTGCCCCATTGGGGCTCAACCAATCCATATACACTATAATCTTATTCCCACACAAGGGAATAAGAACCAGATCTACTGAAAACAGCTGATCGAATAACTGAAGCGTACATCCTCTGTGAACCCTCATGACCCCGACGATCCTGTCATCAGCTATCTCCACATCTAGTGGGAAATTTAGCTCCCCTGGAGCTCCTACAAATCGCTTGTTGAGTGTGAGCAACACAAAAGATCGGGTGGCACTCGAATCAAACAGTACCAAAGCTGATATACCGTTCACTAAGAAACATCCTATAACCAAGACATATAAACATAAGTAACAATAAATATCAATAAAGAGATAAGAGAAAGATACATACCCGCCACCACGTCAGGAGCTGCTCGTGCCTCCTCTGCAGTAAGCTGAAAAGCCCTGCTCCACGCCATAGGCGCCTCAGTCCGGCCCTGACGGCCATCTGTAATCCTCAATGTAGTAAGAGAAGGTGCTGCCACCTTCCCTGCTGCTGCTAAACTCGGGCAATGGGACTGCTTGTGTCCCCTATGATTGCATTGAAAGCAAATCAGATCTGATGTTGTTGTTGTGGTGGTAGTGGTTGTGCAATCTCTGCTCACATGACCAGTTCGGCCGCACTTGTACCAACCCGAACTCCCCGCCTTGCACGCTCCCTCGTGCATCCTGCCGCATTTGCCACAACGACCGTGGCTCTGCTGGCTCCGAGATCTGTGATCTGATTCCTTGGGCTTCTTGCCCGAACTCCCTGACTAAACCCCCTTGGGTTTCCTCTTCCTCTCCATCTCTAAATCCAACTCTCTCTCTCTCTCTCTCTCTCTCTCTCTCTCTCTCTCTCTCTCTCTCTCTCTCTCTCTCTCTCGAGCCCTAACAATCATGTCCTCCAGCATCTTGTAGCTGGAGCGGCTCACAAACTGGCGAATACCACTCCTCAGCATCTCATGATACCGGGCCTTTTTCATCTCCTCGTCCGCCACGTACTGCGGAATGAGAAAGGCCCTCTCACTAAACTTGGTGGTGATCTCCGCCACTATCTCTGTCGTCTGCTCAAGACCTTGAAACTCTCTGGCAAGCTGTTACACCTCTATTACAGGTGCAAACTCGGCCCTGAACCTGGCCGTAAAGTCACTCCAAGTCATAGCATCTAGAGTTGCTGTGACATCCCCTAATTTGTCGGCCAGAAAATACCGATTTAATTTATGCTTTTTAAAATAAAATCAGAGTAACCCTTTTAAAAGATGTTGCGGAATTTGTTCCCAAAACCAAACATGATTAAAAATTATCAAAACCTTTCTTTAAGAAATATATTTTTATTTCATAACAAAACCTCGGGATGTCATGTTCCGATACAGATCAAAAACATAAACAAGACATTATAAGCCTTACACAGTTATTTACAACTACTGGCCTATAATCCAAAAATCACTCATCGTCATCATCCGACTATGCTCGGGGTCCACTACCTGTAATATAAAAAGCTGAGTGGGTCAGGCTTGGAAGCCTGGTGAGCATATAGGGTTTTCAACCCACAATAAGTAATAAACTTATTAAGTTCTCAGTCAACAATAAATTTATTATTTTCATCAACCAAAAATAACCCTAATTACCCATTCCCATTATCCTCACTTTACGTCCCTAAAACAACTATCACAAGGGACCTAGCCTAAGGATTTTCACTAGGGGTGACAACATTGCTTCGGGGGTTCCTCAACAATTTATGTCAAACCAGACATCCTAACATAAAACAACCAATAAGGTGACAACATTGCTTTCCTCAGCAATTTATGTCAAATAAGACAACCAATAGGGTGACAACATTGCTTTCCCTCAGCAATTTATGTCAAATAAAAAAAACATCGGGGTGACAACATTGCTTTCCCTCAGCAATTTATGTCAAATAAAACAAACATCGGGGTGACAACATTGCTTTCCCTCAGCAATTTATGTCAAATAAAACAAACATCGGGGTGACAACATTGCTTTCCCTCAGCAATTTATGTCAAATAGGCACGAAGTCACATCGTCGCCAAGGTTTATACAACAGGCACTACGTCACATAGTCGTAAGGGTTTATACAATAGGCACTACGTCTCATAGTCGCCAGGGTTTATCTAATAGGCACGAAGTCACATCGTCGCCAGGGTTTATCTAATAGGCACGAAGTCACATCGTCGCCAGGGTTTATCTAATAGGCACGAAGTCACATCGTCGCCAGGGTTTATCTAATAGGCACGAAGTCAGATCGTCGCCAAGGTTTATACAACAGGCACTAAGTCCATAGCTGCCAACGTACTAAATACATAGCTACCAACGTACATCTATACTGTACTAAATTCATAGCTACCAACGTACATCTATACTGTACTTTTATCCCTCATTCTTTATCTACCCATGTTTTACCCAACATATTTGAAGATAAAATATATATACATTTTAAATCATTTTAAACATGTATAAAACATTCATTCAACATCCATCTCAAATAAACAAACAACATATATACACATATCACGTATTTTATATAAAATACTTCATATCTATGTGTAAGATGAAAGTGACTATACACTCACATGATTTAACAATAATCGGGCAGCAATTCGTTTCCTAAAACGATCGTTTCTAATAAAACCAGGAGTTTTATTGAGAAACCGGGCTCTGCGAGGGTCGGGCTTCAAAACCGAAAAGATAAATTTTCCGGGTCTTCGGGCACTTCGGGACATTTTTCGGGCGTTGGAAATAATATCGGGGCTTCGGGGGAAGTCAAAATACTAAAAATGTTGATTAAGGGTGAACAAGTGCCAAAATTCTCAAAATACCCGGGAAGGCTCGCAGGCACTATTTATAGGGAAGAGCCTCGGATCCGAAGCAAGGGTAAGCGATCACGTGCCTCGCATGCGAGGCTTCCAGGTGGTGGTTCGGTTCGCAGGTGGCGCGCTTGGATTGGACCGAGCCTTCGGTGTGAGGGGGTGCGACACGGGTCAGACAGCTGGCCTCGGATGACTCAGCAGCATCGGACACGTGGTATGCTGCAGTTAGGCCTCCCTTCGGTCGTATCACAATCCGACACGCGGCTACTGTTCATGCGAGGGAAGGCGACACGTCTCGGATGACTCAGCAGATTTTCGGACACGTGGCACATTTTGGGCGAGGGTGACGTGGGCGAAGCCACATATGCGAAATTTCTCGATTTTTGTGCAAAAACTTCTAAAATTCATAACTTTCGCATACGAGCTCCGTTTTTGACGTTCTCTATATGCACGCGTAGGTAAAATTACGCTCTACAACTTTTGTTTAGACTTCGTCGGCTAATTTTGACTTTAACTTTTATATTATTATTTTTAACAGACCGGGACAGGAAATCCGTTAAAAATTCATAACTTCTTCATCCGACGTCCGTTTTCGTCTGTCTTTTTACCGTTGTGCTACTATTGACGAGACCTTCGATTCTCGTTTAGGTCGTGTCGGCTAAAAATCACTCGATCTAAAATTCGAGTTTTTAGCTGTCTACTGCTAAGCCGAAACTTAGAAAAATCATAACTTCCTCATACGAAGTCAGATTTGGACGTTCTTTTTATACATACTATCGGTTTAATGAACACTACGACTTTCGTTTAGATCACTATGGCCAAAAAGTAATTTATCAAAAACTCACTTTTTTACGACATTCGGCAGCGTGCCGGTTTTGTCGCGAAACTTCGACAGGTCATAACTTCTTCGTTATAACTCGGATTTCGGCGTTCTTTATATTTTCGGAAACCTTGAGACATATACTACAACTTGGTTAAGATTAATCCTTCTAAATAATCTTCCATCAAAAAGTCATTTTTGATGCTTATCGTCTCTAAATTGACCAGCCCGGATCTACGGGCGTTACAGTTGCATCATCACCCATGGCATGTTCGACCTCCTCCCACCAGTCACGTGCCCTGTCCTTCAGTAGAAAAAGATGCAAGTCGAACCTTGTCCCCCTCGGGACATCTGCTGGTGTGGAATGCGTTGGCGACATCCGCCAACCATCTGGTGCTCGCTATGGGGTCTCGGGCCCCGTGGTAGTCGGGAGCTCCACAGGCTCTAAACTCCCTGAATGTCAGTGTGCGCGACCCCATCATGGCCGCCACCTTAGTGCGGAAAGCACTCAACCTCTCGTCTAAAATCTCTAAGATGCCCTCCTTGATCATGCCGAAGATCACAGGAGTCTGATCCAGGATACTGCACGTGATCTCAGAGGAAATAAACTCCCTAGTCTAGTCGTCTAGCTGCATGGCTCCTGAGCCTGAGCCTGAGCCCTCACCGACGTCTGAACTACCAATCACTGGTCTAGGGCGTAAAACCACCAATCTGAAAAACACATCATAACAAACATCAGAATACTAAACAACTCTCGAGGGATCATATATATACTACAAGTTTCTTGGATTCATCTCAGCCTTCCTTGATTTGAGTACGATCATCTGCTTTCAGTAGTATGAGCCCATACTACCTTCCACATCTATCCGTACTTTCCTCAAGAACTGCCTTGACTTCACCAAGTCCCTTCTACTACTTAATACTTCACACGCTACTCTCAGCGTAGGCTTCCTGTAGGGTAATCACCATCCCACTATCCGTCATCAGCTGCATAAGAAGTCTCTGCTATCTTCCCCTAACTAGCTTGCGAATATTATTACATATCACTTAGACTAGATAATTCTTCGAATGAGAGGCTCTACCCTACAACGGTTAGACTCAAACGAGAGCTGCGAAATAAGGCTAAACCTAACCTTCTGAAATTATTTAGTCCTTACAATATGTAACTTAACATATTTGTTTACTAGTTAGTAAAAGATAGCTAGAACTCCTAAAAGCACAAAGCAAGCAACATTCGAGAATTGAGTACACATAATCAAGCATATACTACTCGACTATCATACTATCTAATCTGTACTAGCATGCAGTTCTCATAAAGTTGATACACATATAACAAGCACATAAGGCATCCTTCCTAGATCCTTAGTCCTAATCCAGCATGTAGTTCTCATAAAGCTGATACACATATCATAACATAAACTTGTATGGGTAATTTGGGAGTACTTACTTGAGCTCGACTGATTGCATGCACCACACCTTTTTCTCTTTTTCAAAATTCTTTTCGCTTTTTCTAAAACTCTTTCATTTTCTCAAAATCCTTTTACAAAAATGATTTTTATTTTGAAAAATTCTATACCAATTCCTTAGTTTGAGTTTAGACACACCCGAAAGTGTGCCTGAATACCTCAAACCAAGGCTCTGATACCAACTTGAAACATCCCAAAAATACGGTCCAAAATTAAATTTCGTTTTAAATCTTACCAAGAACCATGAATATCAAACATCACATAAAAACATAAGTCGTGTAACTCAAAACATCATAAAATCTGTCAATGTATCAAATCATATCTCAACTATCAGAGTAAATATCCCAGGCTAAAATTGTGGTGTATGCCATGCGATCACCCCGAGCCCTTCCCTTTGCTAGCAGAAGTACCTGAAACCAAAACTGAAACTATAAGCACGAATCTTTGTGATCTCCCCCAAACTACCACATACCATACACATATATTATAACAGATAACACAACTATGGGACACCACCTAGCTGCATCGGGACGAACCCGACATCGGACTCCTGCCCGACATCGGGCTCACCCCGGCATCAGACCGCGTCTGACATTGGGCTCACCCCAGCATCGGGCTTACCCCGGCACATACACAACATATCATATATCATAAACATATAACATACATCGGGCTTGCCCCGGAACACATACCACATAACATATAAACTAACATGCATCGGGCTTGCCCCGGAACACATAACACATAACATGCATGAATCACAAAGACATCAAGCATACAGATACACTTCTCGGGACCGCCCAGGCATCAGACCAAACTCCGGAACATATAATCTACATCGGGCTAACCCCGACATTGGACCGATGTCCGGCATACTCTAACATACATAAATGGGTCGGCATTAGTGCCTTCGACCCGTTCCTACCAGAGGAAAACTCACCTCTCAAACTGGATGTTGAACTCGTGCGTGAGGAATCTCTGCTGGCTGCTCCCACGACTCCCCGGATAACTCTATACAATAAATACTTAGTCAGCAAACTGAAAATCTGTCTAAGGGTAAAATGACCATTTTACCCCTTGGTCAAAGTCAATGCTCTGGTCAAAGTCAACATTATGAGTTGACCAACTCGCCGAGTCAACCTTTCAACTCGTCGAGTTCTTAACCTTTGAAATCCTAAAATCGCGACTCAACTCGCAGAGTCGTTCCTCCGACTCGTCGAGTCCTATCGAGCTGCTCATGGTCGTGACTTGACAAGTCTACTCATCGAGTCCCTCTACAGACTCGTCGAGTTCTACTATAAACTGAATCGGGACAGCCCGACTTGACTCGTCGAGTTCCCCTATGGACTCGACAAGTCCTTCTGTCTGTTTGGCCATCTTAACATATTAAGCCCTTTCTCTCTAGATCTAAAGCCCATACTTCGACTGCTCACTGAAATGGCCTTTCTAAGGGTAAAGTTTCCAACTTTACCTATTGATAACCCTTTTTGAAGGGTTTAGCTAAAACCCTAATTCCTCTAGGACATGGATCTTGTCCAAACAGCCTTAGCTTTCCAAACCAAAGCATGAAAACATAGATCTAGGGCCTAGATATTAGTTGACCACATAAAGTCTCAAGCTTGCTTCCATGCATGGCCGTTTTAAGCTCAAAAAGCCATTATGTCGCCCTTAGCACTTGCATGGGGACTCTAAGGGCATAAAGTTTGCACCTTTATGTCCTCATAGCCCCTCTAGACACTAGATCTGGAAGAATACCCACCAAGATCGATCCTTTGGCAAAAACTATCAATCTTGGACTAAAAACTCAAATAAAATGGAAATGACTAGATCTAAGAAAAGAGTGATCAAGTTTGAGGCTTTATTAACAGAAACTACAGCTAAAGGGATGAAGCTTCTGGATCTACTCATTCTCTCTTGAGTCCTCTACCTTCCTCTTTTTTCACAAGCTTCAAAAGACACAAAGAACACTCAAAATGGCTCTTACACTCAAAGAACACTCTAGGGTTTCGTGGATTAGGGTTTGGGGACAAGGAGGCTGTGAATGAGGCCAAGAGGTGGGGGGTTATGATGCTTAAATAGGGTGCAAAACCCTGAAATTAGGGTTTCACTCTGGACAGGCTACTCGTCGAGTTGGGGTACCGACTCGCCGAGTAGGTGACTTAAACCCTGCGCATAAACTTCCCTCTACTTGATGAGTTAGGGCCACCAACTCGTCGAGTCCTTCTTTCAAAATGAATAAATAAATAAGTTAAATGCGTACCAGGAACTAGACGTTACATAATGGCTTTTAAATTAATTACAATAAGAATAGTTAAAAATAACATAGCCTTATGAATTACATTATGTTACCTTATAAAGAAATGTCAAATACATAATTTCTAAATTAATTAAGCATATAGTTAAAAAAGTAACATTAAGAGGGTGTTTGGATAAATTAGATTATAGTTTATTAGCTTATTGCGGTGGGAACAAGCAGTTTTTGCAAAAGTGTTTGTGGTTGGAATAAATAATAATAGACAATAAGCAAGGGAGGGTGCTTATTAATATCAGCTTATTTAGTTTATTCCTATCACAATAAACTGATTTTTAAGGATTCTTATCCAAATACTTAAAGTTAGCTTATTAAACAATAAGCAATAAGCACCTTATTTTTTTACTATCTAAACACCCTCTAAGTCGAAAATTATATTTAGTTTCATTCACACGTCAGTTGCGTGTGGTCATTAAACCATATGTTTTTAATAAATGTTGTAATATGATTTAAAATCATTACAATTTTATATAACAATTTATACTATTTATTAAATTATAACCCTATAATTTTACTCCACGGAAATGCATGTATATTCGACTAATAGTAATAATTTAAAAAAAAAATAGTATAAGATGGTAAAGGCAAATGTATTTTCTTTGCCGACTTTAGTTATAGGGGTGGTATATACGACAAATTAAAACCATCAAAGATTACAAGATAAGGAATCAAAACTTCGACCGAAGTTTTACTTTTGATTATACAATAGGTAATTTTTTTGTAATTTACTCCACGAAAATTAGTCTTTGTTACATAATTTGTACTTACATAAAAAAGATATAATAAGTTACATTTTTGTCCTTGAATTAAGTTGATTGTTCGGTTTTAGTCCTAAAAAAATTAATTTTCAGTGTTATCATTATTTTGATTTTTTAACGCTTTTGCTTAGTAAAATAAGTATAATGTCATTTAGTTGATTCATTTTGTATTTTTATTAGCGAGTTGGTATTAAATGTCTCCGATCCCCATATTCTATGAATATGCCTCATCACCACCATTCTTCCTATTTCTCTGCTCTAAAATATAGTCTTCAAATTTTTAATACTTTATTGGCAATTTTATATTACATTCTAGTTTCAAGTCTACAATGAAACATAGTAGATGTCCCTGCTTGCTCCACTCTCATGACCACCTTTATTGTGTCCCCCTTCGTATTTATTCATCTTGGAGCAAAAACATATCAATATTTTACATAATATCCGAAGATGTCATCCGTTATAATTTTTTTTGTTGAAATTAATAATGAACGAGATTGATTATATAGGATTCATGGGATTGAAATTGTGTATAATATGAGTCATTTGGCTAAAGAGGCTATTCAATATTGGACGGAATTATCGTTGAATCAAAGGTTGATGTCCTCTCATTCAAAAGTCGAGTAGATTTGGTCTATGGAATACTATATTTTTTATCTTCTGTCCAAGGGCACAATAAGAAGACAATATCCACAGAATATGGGACTAACAACATATTTTGAGGTTATTGGACAACATTGAAATTTGGACAAAACCTGCGATTTTAAACAGGGATAATGACTTGAAAGGGTAACAGACTTTTGATTTTGTTCACATTTAGTCACTAAACTTTTTTTCATTATCTATTTGCCACTGAACTATTGAAATTGTTCACATTTTACCCTTATGACCGGTTGAGGGTAAAATCTGAACATTTTCAATAGTTCAGTGGCAAATAGATAATACCGGTCATAAGGGTAAAATGTGAACAATTTCAATAGTTCAGTGGCAAATAGATAATGAAAAAAAGTTTAGTGACTAAATGTGAAAAAAGTTGAAAGTTTGTTTCCCTTTCAAAAAAGTTCAATGACTAAATGTGAACAAACTTTCCTCTTGTATTATGGTTTAGCAAATTATGTATTTTTGTTAAATTTTAACAATATTTGTTGATGAAGAAATCTATGAAATAAAAAAAAAACCCCGAACAAGGTATAAAAAACGAAAAACGAAACCAATATTATATGTATAAGTTTTATGTTATAAAACTATGCAATATTATATGTATAAAATTTATCCTAATATTATATTTATGAATTTTGTGTTATAAAATTATGCAACACATAAATTGACATACATTAAACCATATACGTTGTTTATAAAAGAATACATACATACATCGATACATTATTGTTGTTATACTTCATGTATTGACATAGATCATATTAGTATATTTACTATTAAAAATGATATCGAAAATGAAAGTCAAGTTGTTTAGAATTTAGACATTTTTAATTTACCCGGATAATTGATTTATATTTGAGATTGTATTTTCTTAAAAGGTTTGAATAATTATTGAAATTTATGATTATTTAACTAGACATATAGAGTTAAGTAAAACCGTTAATATGTTTTATGAAGTGTTGCGCCCAAACCACCCCATCCATATTACCTTTACACAAATATTTTTTTTAGGAAAAAAATAGCTATATATTCAACAATTAAAACAACGTTATGGGTGAGAATGATTCATTTTTTTGTTAAACCAAAATCAAATTGAAAATTTTGATTTTTTATTTTGGAAAATACCAAACCATTGGTTTTTTATTTCGGGATCGGTTTTTCGTTTTTTTTTAATATATTTTTTGGGGTTTTGTTTTTTTATTTCATAGATTTCTTCATCAACAAATGTTGCTAGAATTTAACAAAAATAAATAATTTGCTAAAACATAATACAAGAGTAAGTTTGTTCACATTAAATCATTGAACTTTTTTAGAGGGAAACGAACGTTCAATTTTATTCACATTTAGTCACTAAACTTTTTTTCATTCTTTATTTACCACTGAATTATTGAAACTGTTCACATTTTACCCTTATGATTGGTTGTTACCGGTCATAAGGGTAAAATGTGAATAGTTTCAATAGTTCAGTAGCAAATAAATAATGAAAAAAAAGTTTAGTGACTAAATGTGAACAAAATTGAAAGTCCGTTACCCTTTCAAGTCATTATCCTTTTAGATAAAGTCTAAGGACCAAGTTTGTTACTTATTAAAAAATTTAGACAATTTAACGTAATGGGTTAATTAAAAAAATAAAAGATTCGAGCCTTTTTCCTCTCTCTTCGAGACTCGAGTCATCGTCTCCCTCAGTCGTTGACTGGCAATTTCACTGAAGATTTACAGTCAGCGTCGTTCGCTCTGTAGTTTTCGCTCATCTTCCTCCTCTTTCTAGTCGCCGTTGGTTCTTCCTCTATCCTCCTCACTTCAGGTCTCCTTTTTTTCCTTGTATGCAGACAAATATGAAAGCACATTCTTAGTAGCTGGTTTGACTCATTGTTGACCAATTTCATCATCAATCATAAATCACATCATAATCACATGGGTTTTTTTTTAGAAAAAATCTATTATTACCAGATTGAAATATCGATTATTTGAATTACGTGGGTTTAGTTGTATATTTCAATTAGGAAATATACTTCCCGAATTTCTTTATAATTTGCAGTTCGTTAATTCGGTGCTTTTACATATGATTCGTTTTGAATGATGTTATCTGCTCCTGATGAGTAAGATAAACACTTATAATGAACAAACTTGATATTCAATTCTAATAATTTTAAATTTCCTGGTGATGTTTTCACTTTCCATTATGCAAAGCTTGCAGATCGTAAGACATCTGTTGTTGTGAAGTAGTTTCGGGTGTTATATTCCTTGAAAGAGTATTAGGATTTTGCTAGCTCAGAATTTAGATTCTAAATTACTTCATTAATGCTCAGTTTATTGGATTAGGTTTTTGCTTTTAGCTACATGATTAGAAGGGATTTATTTGTAGATTTAACACCTACAACATCGTCAGCAAAGCTTATGTCACTAGTCACATAATTCACCTTTGTCACATAATCAAACCATCATTGATGTATCTCTATATGCTTGTGTATAGGGTGCATTTACCTCCAAAGTTTCATCTTAGTAGAGTTTGAAATTGAAAGCTTATTAACTGTGTGAATTGTTAGTTTCAAAACATATCGTTTGTCACTGACCTTAACCGAGTAACCAATTTTTAAACAATTCAGATCTAAATGTTATGGTGATTCTATATCAATAGTTAGGTGCATGTATGTTGTCTGTTATTGAAGCATTCTAATTCACATGGAAAAGTATGGAGGTGCATATGCATTGTTTTTTAGTCATTCAAATATTTTATATTGAAGCATATAAGGTATTATTGTTGAGGTTATATTATTTAATGAGATTTAAGTTGTGTATGGTATTAATAATATGGACTTTATGTACAGACATTATGTATGGAATCTTGAGTTTGAGGCACAAGTGCGAAAAGGGTAGGATTTAAAAGCTTCAGAAAACATTCATAACTACGATGTCAAGAGAAAACTGAGTTTCAGAGCTTATTGGAATACACAAATATATACGGAGATCATTGTCTCATAACTCATAATGGTTGTTCTCTCAGAACATTCAGAAGGATCTTCATCTTCTTCATCAACTCATAAAGGTCATAGATTTGACGTATTTTTAAGCTTCAGAGGTGTTGATAATCGTCATTTTACCACTTACCTTCATAAGGCACTCATGGATGCCAGTATCAGTACTTTCTTGGATGATGAAGAGATGGAAACAGGGGAGAATCTGAAACCAGAATTGGAGAGTGCTATTAGAGGATCTAGGGCTTCTGTTGTTGTGTTGTCTGACAATTATGCTACTTCCACCTGGTGTCTTGATGAACTTGTGTTGATCCTTGAGCAACGAATGAAATCCAGTCATGTTGTAGTCCCCATCTTTTATCATGTTGAGCCCACCCATGCCAGGAAGCAAAAAAGTAGCTTTGGAGATGCAATGGCTAAACATAGACAAAGGATGGAGGCAGAGACAGATGCAAATAAAAGAAGTAAATTGGCTCAAAAGATGGAAAAATGGAATAAAGCGCTTGTAGAAGTTGCTGGTTTAAAAGGGAAGGATATAAATGGAAGGTAACCACTTTCTTACTCATATTTCCGCACTCCTTCAATTTTTTGTTAATTAGCGCATGAAAAGTGAACATCGTCGTCTCCTTATGACTTTTAATAAGGTGCTGTTTGTTTTTTCGAAGAGAAAATGCGTGAAGTCTGCGGACCACCTCTGTAATCCTCTGTAGCAGAAGAAGTGGAACAAACGGCTGCAGTATGTAATACAAAGTATGTTTGTTTTTTAACGTCTGCAGACTACTGCAGTAAGTTAAACTAAGGCGTGAAGAGGTTTGAAGCAGTTGGTTTAGTGCTGCGCCACGCAACACACGCGCAGCAGTTTTTAAGTCAGAAGTCTTCTGAAAAACAAACAGCTGCGAAGGGCCAAGTGCTGCGCGTGTGCTGCGCGGCGCAGCAATAAGTGGTCTGAAGTGGTTTTTTTAAAAAAACAAACAGGACCTAAGTCTCTTCATAATCACTAAATAGGCATATTTTTGATGTATCTAAAGTGGATAAAGAAGTGCTTGAAATTGAATCTAGGTTTTGCAATTATGTGAACTCATAAATATATTTCAATTAGGTAGGTTAACCATCATGCAATTTTTGACACATTTGATATGCATCTATTCTTTTATAAAATAATAATAATAATAATTCATTCAGATAATACCATTTTAATGATTTTTATATGCCTTCTATAAAAAAAAACAAATTTTGGACGGTTACAATGCGCCTACACATTTTTATATCATTCTACCTTCAAATCCTATCATATTTTATTATGATAAATAATTTCTCTGACTTTTAAGTAGTAATGTTTAACCTATAGTTGTTACGCGACCTTTTGTTTAGATTTGTGCAAAACCATGTCGATTTTTAAATCTGATGGTCTTGTGGAAACATATGAAGTGTGGTGGCCCATTAATGAAATCTCGTATACCATTAGTGGCTGTGGTGTTATTATAGATAAAAATTATGACCTTGCACATTAGATGGTTTTATGGTTAGAAGTGGAAATATGATATAGTTATGAGGTGAAAAACTTAATTAAGCAGAATAGCTTAATATGATATAATTTGATGTAATTTTGGTTTGAATTTGGGGATAAATTAAATATCTAATTTGCTATGTTAGTTTTTCTAGCTTGTATTTAATTTGTTGTTCTTATTCAAATCAATCAGGCATGAGCTGCAGTTTATTGACGAAATTGTTAAGGACATCCACCGAAGATTACGGATATCCGCAAGGAGTCCTCTCCCACTACTTATGGGGATGGTCTATTCCATTGAATTTGTCACTTCATGGTTGAAAGATGCATCCTCACATACAGCAAACATACTCACTATTTTAGGTATTGGTGGTATTGGGAAGACATCTTTAGCCAAGTATATCTATGGGTTACATTGTCATGAATTCCACACAAGCAGCTATATTGAAGATGTCAGTAGGAGATGTCGTGAAAATTTTAGTGGGTTGCTTGATTTACAAAAACAACTTTGTGATGACATTTCAAAAACAAGTTCGATGAAATTTCATGATGTTTCCATTTACACCTCAAAAATAGAGAATGCACTATCCCGTAAAAAGGCGTTTCTAGTTCTTGATGATATTGATAGTCTAGACCAGTTGGATGCATTACTTGGAAGTAAAGGCTTTCATCCAGGAAGCAAAGTTATAATAACAACAAAGGATGCATGGTTGACAGAGAGTTGTGCATTATTCAAAACGAACGTTAAACCCAAGCATACAAAGCACGTGCTTAAAGGCTTATATAAGACCGAATCACAAAAACTTTTGTGTTTTCATGCATTCATGTCCAACAATCCCAAGGAAGGTTATGAAGAGGTGTCAGAAAACCTTGTAAAGTATTGTGAAGGACATCCAATGGCTCTTAAAGTTTTGGGCAGGTCTCTGCACAATCGAGATGTATCTTATTGGGAGTGGTACATAGATAGGCTAAATAAAGAAAACGATTCCCCTATAAATAATGTCTTGAGAATGAGCTTTGACTCTTTGCCATCTAAACATAATAAGGACATGTTTAAGCATTTTGCTTGTTTTTTTGTTGGAATGGATAGAGATGTTGCTGAAACAATATTACAGGCATGTGGTTTGGAAACAAGAACTGGTATCACGAATCTAATTGACAGATGCCTTCTTAGTATTGGATGGGATAACGAGTTGATGATGCATCAGTTGGTTCAGGATATAGGAAGATTCATAGTATATGAAGAATCACCGGACAAGCCATGGAAACGAAGTCGATTATGGTGTCATGAGGACATATTCAAAGTGCTGGAAGAAAAAAAGGTAAGCAGCCATGTATACTTGTTACTAGTAGGATTAAATGCAAGAAATAGCATTGTACTTCCATTGATTTGTTTATGCAACATTCTGTTTTCTTTTCTTCTAATTACAACATTGTACTTTGAAAAATATACTCAATTATAATAATTTCATCCTAATATGAAGCAATTTCCAATTCTATAGTTGGGAAATTTTTTTGAAGTATAATATCCTAATTACTAATAAGAAAGGAATTAAGAGTGCGATGCTATACTTGGGTAGACTCTTAAATGTCTTAATAAGATTTTTTTTGAAAGTACAGTGTTGTAATATAATGAAATGGGAGTAGGATGTTGTAATACACAAATTAGATGATAGTGCATTACTAGGTCTTGCATCTATCTGGTAATACTATGCGCGTTAAAATATTGTCTTATCTGTATTTAATTATTTTAACTTTTTGTGGAATTTGGTTTCTTTTTAGAGTACAAGAAATCTTCTAGGCCTTGCCTTAGACATGCGAAGGCTTGAGAAAGAGAAGGTGTGTGCATCATTTGAGCTGAAAACGGACGCATTGAGTGACATGGATAGTCTGATGCTACTACAACTCAATTATGTGCAGATTAATGGGTCTTACGAGAACTTTCCAGAAGAATTAAGATGGCTTTGTATGCATGGGTTCCCTTTAAAGTCCATACCTTTGGACTTACCAGTGGAGAACCTGGTTGCTCTTGACATGTCATATAGCAATATTGAATCATTTGGCATTTATTATAGTAATCCACAACGACTTCAGAAGAGGCAAAAGGTAACTTATTTCCATTTATTATTATTCCATGTTAAGATGATGAAATTCACTACTATTCTAACTTATCTCCGTTTGATTAGTTGATTGGATCATGCTCAAAAGATAAAAGGTTGCTTGGGTCATTGAAGATTCTTAATTTAAGTTTCTGTGAACAACTTTGTAGTGTGGGTGGCTTCGATGAACTCCCTGCACTTGAGAGGTTAATAGTTAGAAACTGCATTGGTTTGCTTGAGGTTTGTGAATCAATTGACCAATGTTTTGAACTTGTCTTCATTGATTTAAGCTATTGCATCAAGCTTGAAAAACTTCCAAGAAGCTTAGGCATGTTAAAGAAAGTTAAAACACTATTGCTAAACGGTTGTCATCTCGGTGAATCTCGAATAAATACTAGGGGTATGAATTCATCAACCTTGCTCAAAGCAAACAACAATGGCATAAACACAAAAACCTCTTCATCGGCCATTATAAAGGCCATACCAAGTGATTCGAAGCTCTTTTCGCTTTCTTTACCAAAGTCTTTAGTAAAGTTGTCATTTGAGAATAATAACTTGTCCACTGAATCCTTTCCTATGGACTTCAGTTGCCTATCCATGTTGAAGGAATTATGTTTAGATGACAATCCTATCGTTTCCCTGCCCAACTGTGTGAGAAGCCTTCCTAGGCTTAAGATACTTAGTATGAGAGACTGTAAAAAGCTAACGTCAGTAGAGCACCCTCCACATACACTAACATATTTGGACCTCTATTTTGATTCTAACAACCCTTTGCCACTTAAAGTTTCATTTGATCCAGAAATGTCCCCAATCCATTTCTCAATAGATTGGAAGATAAATACACCTTCGTCGTTTGAATTTGAAGGCATGGTCAAAATCCAACCAATGGCAGGTGTTGAGGAAAATGTCCTGCATAGTTTGGGTTGGAGTAAGCTAGACTTACTTAACAAAAGGCTCTTGGGATCAGAGGAATCTGAAATCCAGGTTTGGTCTAGTTAACTATATGTCTTTGTATGAATATGTATGTATACATAATTAATAAAGGTGGCTGTATTTTGCAGATGTATTATGAATTTGGAATATTCAGCACAATTTATGGAGGCCAAGAGATGCCAAATTGGATTACAGATCGAAGCATGGGGCCATCAATATCATTTTCCATCCCATCATCTCCTGACAGATTCAGAGGATTGAATTTCTTCAATGATTGTACGTTGCAATTTCGAAAAGACAACTCGTTTTATTTTCCAATCATCATAATTAGGAATATAACAAAGAATCTCACCTGGATATACACTAATTATGTTTACAAAGTGGATGTAAGTGGAGATTGTGTGATATTTTTAAGCCATTGGATGTTTGGGATGAATGAGATGGAAGGTGGTGATCATGTTACTATTACCGTGAGGCAGCAACATTATTGTATTGCTAATCAAGTTACAAAGGAGTGTGGGGTGAGTTTTTTGTATGATGATGGAGAAGAAGATGTGTTGGGTTATTACAAGTCATGGAATCATATAATTGGTGGAGATCTCATTGGATTTCAAACAACAACAGGAGAATACATCTTAAACAACATGCGATTTATGTCTCCTGATCTTGTTGTTTCTTCATTATATCGTCAATTCGTTGGAGAGGATGCCAGCTATAAAGGTAAATCTCGTTTTTATTAAAGATTATATTATTGTGTCTTATGCATCACAGTATTGGTCTTTATCATGCATTTGTGTGCCAATAACATAGTGGAGATCACACAACCAACCACTAATATTATACTTGAACTAGGTACATAATGATATGATAAATTAACTATCATGACCCAACTTCTTTAAATTGATGGATCATGACTTATTTATCTTAAATAGCTGGATCATAACCCAAATCAACCTGTTTATATGTTCTTTTCTTGACCTTTAATATACGAGTTTAATTTTATAAATAAAAAAAAAAAGAGTTATAAATCTTAAGTTTTGAATGGGTCCACCCAACAGACCCCTCTATGTTGTGGTCATTTAACAACTTTTCAAGATTGATTCTTAAAAAGATCAATGTAAGTTCTATTTATACGAATTTTTCGTTATTAAATTCTCTTTCCAATTTACACACTCTATTATGTTATTCGGATTTGAAATATATTATAATATGTTATTACATTGTAAGTCCCTATTATTCTAAAATCCTGGCTTCGCCCCTGTTTGTTGGTCAAGATTTTTTTAAATGTTGAATCAAATAAATATATTGGATTAGATTTAGATCAAAACCCCACTCATTAAGAAGCCTGGCTACACTTATTCTGTAAAGTAGATGTAGGTAAATGATAATTAACATATTACTTTTTATCTGTTTTCATCAGAGGAAGAAGTGAGTTTCAGAGCTTTATCCCAAAGGAAGTCTGACATACTTGGAAATGGCCAAATCAAAACGTGGGGCCAGTCACAGAAAAGTCAAGAGCCCGAACCGAGTCAAACATTAGAAAAGCTCACTTCTCAAGGCAACATTCTGTAGCAGTGTCAAAGGGCAAGAAAGCTTGCACAATCCATCCAATCATCAAGTTTATCTCATACAATCTACACAGGTGTTGATTGATGAGTCGCCTTAACCTACAAGAAGGTATTTGGCCAGGGAGGATGCGCAACAGCTCAAGGAATTAATTGATTCATAGATGGGTCTTATTGACCCATGCTATGTCACAAAAATATAGTAATTGACATTTCTGCCATCTACAATCTCGCAGACTTGAATTTTGCGGGGAAATATGGCGTGGTTTAGAGTCCAACTTGCAAAATGCACCACATATGAAGCTTAAGACTGCCAAAAACCAAAAAACGCATCGATAAAGTTCTAAACCCATGTTATACGGTGTGGACAGTTTTTGTGATCTGATGAATATAAATAATTAAATTTAGCTTAATGCATGTAGATTTTTAATTAGCTATGTGTATTTATGCTTTAGGCCATAAAATATTTTTAAATCTAAACCTTAACTTACCTCTAATATGAAATTAAGCATCTAACAAGCAATTACCAAAAATCCTCATTAAATTTCGATCTTCGGCAATCAAAACATTGCTTTCTACTTCCATATTTATTATGACTCATACAATGATCAAATCTAGAGAATGCACAACAAAATAGTTGTAGATAATTGTTACTTTTTTTAAGATCATTTGTAATATATATGGTTAAAGGTTTTTGGAAATCACTATACGAGCCACAATGGTTCTAAACCATATTATGTGGTGTGGTGTGGGGGTTTGATGAACATAAGTAATTCAATGTAGCCCAATGCATGTATATTTTTAATTGTGTACTTACGGTTTGGGAAAATAAGATGAAAGAAAAAGATGACTTCAAAGTACAATGGTATGTTAGATTGCTACAATATATATATATATATATATATATATATATATATATATATATATATATATCTATATATATATTGTAGCAATCTAACATACCATTGTACTTTGAAGTCATCTTTTTCTTTCATCTTATTTTCCCAAACCGTAAGTACACAATTATATATATATATATATATATATATATATATATATATATATATATATATATATATATATATATATATATATATATAGAGAGAGAGAGAGAGAGAGAGAGAGAGAGAAAGAGAGAGAGAGCTAGGTTCAAATGTTTCTAGCAACTATTTTGTGTATGTATGCACCAATGAGAATTGAGGAAATAATAAATTATTAAATAAATTAAAAAGGGGTATAATGGTAATTAGTATATCTAATTATGGTAAAAAAATAATTCAATTAATCTCTCCTTAATTAGTTAAACTCTACAAAATCAACATCCCTAACCCTAAAGAGTACGAACGAATTCCTCCAATGATCGATGCCTCTGTTATTCTTTTCCACCAAAAAGGCTTCCAACTTCTTCAATCGCTGACCAAAAAAATCAAAGACCCCCTTCATGTCGATCCTCCACCAGTCACCACTATTGACCGCCATCACTTGCGTCCACCATCTCAGCACTAGCACTGTGATTCTAACAATCGTTCTTCACCCTCCACCGATAAAATTGAAGATCAATGGACGTCCATAAGGAACGATGGCTACGATTTCTCATAAAAAATGGTCGTAAATAGCGGCGGCCTGAAGAAGACGATGGTGAGGGAAGGTTCCAAACGCAGGTATCTGCTTACAAGAACCCTGAGGTCTCTCTCTTTCTCTCTGTAATAATCTTTCTTTATCACACACAAACACACACATTAAAATGTAGAGAGTAAAATTATGGCTTCATTTATGTGCTTGATTTATGCTCAGTTCTAAAGCTGGATTTGAAAAATTATCAAAAAGAATAAACACTTGAAGCTCTTTAATCATTCGTAGGAAAAAAAACTATAATGACAGTCCCTAATTGTTTGTCAATAACTATTAGTGTCTAGTCTGGATACCTAATTCTAACATTTCCTTACTTTTATAATTGATTAAAGCTGTGTGTAGATGTATCACACATGATGTTGGTCTAGAATTATATTTCTTTTTATTACGTTGTCACATGTCACTTTATGATCTGTGTTGTTAGTAGCATGATAAGCCATGAAGCATATACGCACACTTTAGAAGTGTATTTTCATTGAGGTTTAGGGTTTAGGAGCATTACAAATTCAAAGTGTTGTGAATCATTACATTCTGCATTATCACAATCAAACCCTGTTTATCTAACATGGACTTTGACCATATTTATATATCTTTATGTTGTTTATGCAAATCTCAATTTACATGTTGTTTCAGTGGCTTACAAGCTGTCCAAGAGGAAAGTTGATGAGAACTTGCATTTACTGCATAACATCCTTTTTGGAAAACGAACAAAGTTGAAAAAATCAACAAATTAAGCAATCTTTTTTATCTTTTTTCATATATGAAAGCTAAGTTTTTGTGGCTTCTGAATATTATGCAACAACTATATTATTCTGTTAGAATATTCAACAAAGAATGTTAAGAATATTATGCAACAAGTATATTATTATGTTAGAATATTCAACAAAGAATGTTATTTTTTTTCTTAGTCACGTTTTGTGTTAACATGATCTTTTCATGTATTTACATTTCAAATGTTTTGTTCGTTGGATATATTCTTCATAATACAAATTCTTTAAGAATATTCAAAACCATTCTACAAGAATAGTTTATTCTGTAAGAATATTATTGCTGTATTTTGATAGAATTGTAGTTAATTATTTATATGTTTAATGTGCAGTTGTTACAAGTGTATCACAACAAAATATTTGGCAATGAATTTGTGATAGAAATGGCTTGAAGACCTGATGGGAAAGGCTTGAAGAATGAATTAAGGAATGATCACACTCACTGTTTAAGAATGTTGTTAATTTTTAAAAATTACACTTGTTATTCTTTCAGAATGTTGTTATTATTCAATGAATCACAATCATACAATGTAATTATTTGGTATATTATTAGTTCAATAATCGATTTTGTGTATTCTTTCATAATGTATTTACTAGTTTATGGTTGGCATTCTGTCATTCTGACAGAATAAAATAGAAATATATATTTACTAGTTTATGGATTGCATTTTATCATTCTGACAGAATAAAATCGAATTTTTAAATTTGAATTAAGTTAAAATATTCAGATTTTTAAAAATAAAGGAATTAATTATCCCTAAAAATCTGAAAATTTCCTTTTTTAATATAGGTTAATTAACTAAAATGCCCTTATGCTGAAATTTGTGTGATTATATGGTACATGTTATCCTATTCTAATATCATAGACCATCGGATCATGACCTTTGATTCTATTCCATAGTTCGTTCCTTTCTCCTCCGCCACCATCCCCACCACCACAACTACCACCGCCACCACCTCTGACACCATCCGACCACACTACTGTCATCTCCGTCGCTTATACCACCGCCACCTCTGTCATCACCACCTCTTCTGCTACCAACTATTATAATCATATATGATTACTCAATCTGTGAACAAAGATATATGTATAATCATTTATGATTAAACATACCCCACTGTTGCCGGTACGCTGGAGCGTTATTTATATGGTAATTTATATGTCCATTTCTTTATTCATAAGTAATGTATTATAGAAGTTATTTATATAGTTTACTCTAAATTGATGTGTTGTTATGCTTTCATTGGTTCTAGCATGTGTTGTCCTAATCATTTATTTTCCATAAAACCCTCATTCCCCTCCCCCTCTCTTTCTCTCTCTCTCTCTCTATATATTATATATATATATATATATATATATATATATATATATATATATATATATATATATATAGTTCTAACAAAATACCATCAAATCTCTCTACAATCTTTCTTGCATCCTCTATTAGAGCTTATGTTAGACTTTGTATATATTTTTTATGAATTAAAAAAAAAACGCAAGTATACATAGGGTAGGTGTTAGGGGAAGTTATGAATCCTATTAGAGGTCTAATAAAGAAAAATATTTGAAATACATATATGTTTGAGATGAATCATGAAATCAAAAATAATATGAGTTAAAAAGCAATAAGAAGAAGCTGACAACGAAAGAAAGTATAACATCTCTAAATTTAAGACCAAAAATTTCATTTTCAATTTAATAATTATAAAACCATTTGTTTGAAAACATCCATAGTATCAACTCATATCAAAGCCACTGTATCAATAGTCAAAACATGTCATGATAAAACAACATCATAGTATAACTCCCAAAGATCTCATGTGCAGAAATCCTGGTGTGATGCGCTGCAATCATGTCGGCTCCTTTCCCTTCGAAGAAGAAGTACCTGAAACCAAAACTGAAAACCGTAAGCACAAAGGTTAGTGAGTTCCCCCATCATACAACATACCATACAATAACATACTGCCTAGCATATCCGGTGCTGGCCTACCCCTTCGGTCTCTTTCAACCGGTAACCGCCTAGCATATCAGGATGCTGGCCTACCCCTTCGGTCTCTTTCAACCGGTAACGGGGACTATTTCACCCCATATCACTACCACATATCATCCTAGTACATACACATAAGTCACATACTGCCTAGCATACCTGGGTGCTGGCCTACCCCTTCGGTCCTTTCGACCGGTAACGGGGTCTATCCCGCCCCTCCTACCACTATCACATAACATCATAACATACTAGCACATAAAGCATAACATATAGTGGCATACCAGACAATTATCATAAAGACAATCATCTACTATAAACAGCTACTAGTGGGCCGACATTGGTGCCTTCGACCCACTTCTACTGGAAGGTAACTCACCTCGAATAATGGAATGTAGCTGAAAATCCTCGACTCCGAATGTCAACCCAACTCAAGCTCCTAAACATGAAATATTTCCTTAATTCCCCTTTCATACTCATAACCCCTTACGGGTCATCTTTGGTCAATGTCAAAGTCAAAGTCAACATTCTGGTCAAAGTCAACATTTCGAGTTGACTCAACTCACTGAGTTGGCCCTTCAACTCGCCGAGTTCCATAAATCATAAAACCCTGAAATCGCGATCCAACTTGTCGAGTTCTTCCCTATCAACAAAATCGGGACTTCCCAAGATCAACTCGTCGAGTCCGTCCTTGAACTCGTCAAGTTCTTCCTTTTAACAGAATCGGGACACTTAGACCCAACTCATCTCATCCTTCGGCTCCCATATCCATTCCGAGCCCTTGCAGTGCTGCCACTACACCTTCACCAACTCTACCCTATTGTTCCTTATATCCTTCGTCTTCCTATTGAGAATGGTCTCTCGATGTAGTTCAGACTGTCATCCACCTGAATATCCTCTAAAGGCACAACTGCGGAGTCATCCACTAAGCACTTCCGCAGCTGGGAGACATGAAAGGTGTTGTGGACCTGACTAAGCTCGGCAGGAAGATCCAGTCGATACGCAACCCGGCCCACCCGAGCCAATACCCTGAACGGAACAATGTATGTGGGGCCTAAATTTCCCCGCTTCCTTA